AAATTTCAAAATCCCTTCCCCCGCCGGGGGCGTAATCTGGGGTTTCCCCGGAGAGGAGATATGGACCCGTCCATACCAAGCAATAGGAGAGGGTTTTCGCGTACGCAGCAAGAGGGGGACGTTCTGGTCCTAGTCCAGACGATGAAGAGTGCCAGCAGTCATTCAAGGAGAGAAGGAGGTTCAAGAAGCCTTGGGGGAAGCGAAGCGGCGGCGGGGGATGCCACGGCTGCCGCCGAGCTACACGCGGCAGCAGCCAAGCCACGGCGCGGCTCTCTTCTCGGCGTCAGAGGAGCGACGCGACGCTGCTGCGGCTGCGGCAGTACGTGATTAAAATCAATTGATTAATTAGTTGATACTCAACTAGGACGCGACGCTGCTGCGGCTGAGGCAGGGCGGCGTGCCGTGGCGCGAGATTGCAATCACGCTCGGCCGCTCGCCAGACAGCTGCAAGGCTCGCTGGCGCGTCTTTGCCGAGCAGGAGGGCATGGTCGCGGCCTCGTCCTCGCCGCCGCCCGACGGGGTGGTGGTGCACTTTGTGCTCGCCGCGTATGGTGTGAACGGCGTCTATTCACACCTCTAGCTGTGAGCAGGTGGTGGTGCACTTTGTGCTCGCCACGTATGGAGGGGCGGAGGCGTGCGAGGACGAGGACGACGTCGTCGACTGCGGCTTCGTCGAGGCTGATGCGCCGCCACCCGCCACCGGCCGGCGCGAGGACGGCGACGGCTGGGAGGAGGGGGGCAGCGCCGCCGAGAGGGCGGCGAGGGCGTCGCTGTCTGGCCTGGGGCAGCGCGACAGGCAGCCGCTTCCCTCGCCACTCCGTAGACACCTCCTAGACACCTCCTATAGGCCTGGGGCAGTGCGAGAAGCACCCGCTGTGCACGCGCGGCTACCGGCACGGCGGCGGGCGGGGCCCTTGCAATCTGACCGGACGGGACTACTCGCTGCGAAACGCGGCGGCGGCGGCGCGTCGCTTCGGGAGGAGGCGAGGCATCTGAGGGTGTGAACGGCGCCTCTTCACACCTCTAGCTGTGAACAGGCGCGTCCTCGATACCTGGACTCGGTCTCCCTCTGCCGCACCTGCAAGCTCGCGGTGTGAACGGCGCCTCTTCACAGCCTGCAGCTGTGAACAGGTCTCCCTCTGCCGCACCTGCAAGCTCGCGGTGTGAACGGCGCCTCTTCACAGCCTGCAGCTGTGAACAGGTCTCCCTCTGCCGCACCTGCAAGCTCGCGGTGTGAACGGCGCCCCTTCACAGCCTGCAGCTGTGAACAGGTCTCCCTCCCGTGCCGCACCTGCAAGCTCGCGGTGTGAACGGCGCCCCTTCACAGCCTGCAGCTGTGAACAGGTCTCCCTCCCGTGCCGCACCTGCAAGCTGGCGGGCGGAGAGTGCAAGTGGCCAGGCACTAGCGGCCACCTCCCTCGCCGCCTCGCCAGCGTCCCGGCGGCCGCCACGCAGGAGGGGGGGGCGCGGGGTGGCGGCGGCCGCGGCCGCGGCGGAGGCGGCGGCGGCGGCGGCGATGGCGGCGGCGGCGGCGGCGTTTTGGCGCAGGCGCGGGACGAAATCACGCTGAGCCGAGCCGTTCTGATGGTGTGAGCAGCGCCGATTCACACCTCTAGCTGTGAACAGGACGATCTCACGCTGAGGCGAGCCAGCCTTGCTCGCGCGTCGGGCGGCGGCGGCCAGCGACGTGCGGAGCGTGGCGGCGGGCGGGTGCGAGGGGAGGATGGGGCCGGCGGCCATGGCGGCGGCCCGCTGCCGGACAAGGGGAGTTTGCGCTGGTGCGTGCTGCGCGCGCTGCTGGAGGCGCCGCCTGCGACTGCGGTGCCGTGCCGCGACGCTCTCGACGGCGCGAGGCGCGCGCGTGGGGAGTGCGTGCCGCAAGGAGCGTGCGTCCCCCCCGCAACATGGCGCACCGCCTTCGCCAGCGAGCCGCGCGAGGCGGCGCCGCTGTGGCAGGTGCCGCGCCCGCCCTCCGCCCCGGGTGTAGCTGCAGACGGACTCCGCGTCTCTCGGGCGTCGCATCACCACTCCCCACGAAGCAGTGTCCTTCCGACATATCTCATCGCTACTTCGCGGCCCGCCACCGCGCCAACCGCGCCGCACCGCTCCGCCCACAGCTGGCTCCGCTCCGCCCTCGGCCTGCGACGGAGCTCCGCCACACACGCCGTCCCCACCTGATTAATTAACCACGAACGTGGCAACTAATTAGCAATTAAGTAATTAACGGAGCTCCGCCACTCGCCGTCCACCTAGTTAATTAATCAATCAACCGATTGATGAACTAATTAACGGAGCTCGCCCCCACGCCGTCTGCTCTTCGGCCTGCACACACAGCGAAGCTACCTTACCTCACCTTATACCTTACCTTACCTCGCCTTACCTCACCTTGCCTTCGGCTGCCACAGGCGGTTCTCTCCGTGCAAGGCACCATCGTCGCCGACGCACCACCCGCCAGCGACGCGCCCGCCGCCGCCGCCGCCGCCGCCATCGCCGCCGCTGTGCCGCCGATCCCCGGTTTTGCCATCGCCGCCGCCGCCGCCGTCCGCCAGCGCTCCTGCGACAGCGGCCATGAGGCCGCTGCTGCGGCTGCCGAGACCGCTGCAGCCGCCGCCGCTACCGCGGAGGCGGCGGCCGCGTACGCGCGGTCGGCTGCGGAAGCGGACGAGGCGGCGGCGGAGGCGGAGGCGGAGGCGGAGGCGGAGGCGGAGGCGGAGGCGGCAAAGGCGACCCCGCCCGCCGCCGCCGCCGCCTCCATCGCCGCCGCGGTGTCGACCGTTGGCTTCGCCATCGCCGCTGCCGCCGCCGTCCGCCAGCGCTGCGCTGACGGTGCCGCCGCCGTCGCCGCCGCCGCCCTTCCGGCGGCGGAGGCGTCGTGGCCAGAGGGCTATGTGGTCGTGCTGACGGCGGCGGGCGAGGCGACTCACTTGGAGATGCTCCGAGCCCGTGACTCGTCCAAGACACGTCCACGACACGTCCACGACACGTCCAAGACACACGTCCAAGACACGTCCACGACACACGTCCACGACACGCCACGACACGTCCAAGACACGTCCACGATACGTCCATGACACGTCCACGACACGCCACGACACGTCCAAGACACGTCCAAGACACACGTCCAAGACACGTCCACGACACGCCACGACACGTCCAAGACACGTCCACGACACGCCACGACACGTCCACGACACGCCACGACACGTCCAAGACACGTCCAAGACACGTCCAAGACACGTCCAAGACACACGTCCAAGACACGTCCAAGACACGTCCACGACACGCCACGACACGTCCAAGACACGTCCATGACACACGTCCACGACACGCCACGACACGCCACGACACGTCCATGACACGTCCAAGACACGTCCAAGACACGTCCAAGACACGTCCGAGACACGTCCGAGCCACGTCCAAGACACGTCCAAGACACGTCCAAGACACGTTAATGACACACCACGAAACGTCCAAGACACGTCCATGACACACGTCCAAGACACGTCCAAGACACACGTCCAAGACACGTCCAAGACACGTCCGAGACACGTCCGAGCCACGTCCGTGCACAGGCGCTGCGCGGTGCGATGCTGCGCAGCGAGGGCGGGCCCGAGGCGATGGAGGGGGAGGAGGGGGAGGAGGAGGAGGGGGAGGGGGAGGGCGAGAGCGAGGGCGAGGAGCCCGTCACGGTGGTCGCGACTAGTTAAGCTACGCCGCTAAGGAATCCATGAATTTAATTAGGCGACGGCTCGTCACACCTCTGAATAATTAACCTACCGGATCATTAATTAGGAATCCATGATTTAATTTTAGGCGACGAGCTGGTCACGGCGATCGTCTGCGACGGCTGCGAGGCAAGCGTCGGGGCTGCCCCGCCTCGGGGCCAGTGCACCGACAGCTCCTCTACGTTCACACTCGCTGATTCACAGGCGGCATCGACCCGACCCCCCTCTGCTGCCCCTTCTGCCCCTTCTGCCCCACCACCTCAGTGTGTGTGTGTGTGGAGAAGTTGACCCTACCGGACCGGACCTTACAGGCCACCTTCGAGCTGCCTCCGGGGTGGTGTGTGAACAGCGTCTCTTCACACCGCTAGCCGTGAACAGGCCACCTTCGAGCTGCCTCCGGGGGCGGATGCGCCGGCGGGCGACTGGTACTGCGCCGGCTGCGGCGGAGCCGCGCTCGATCTCGGGGCATCTCGGAGGTTGCAATCTCGAGCCCCGCTCAAGCCGCGCCAAACGCACTCCTCGTACCGCGGCGCGCTCGCGCCCCGCCCTCACCGGCCGCCTAGCCGCGTGGCTGGGAGGATGGGACATGTCTGTGAACGAGCAGGCGTGTCCGCGCCGCACTCCTACCGGCCGCACAGCCGCAAGTGGCTCGCAGTCGTGGCGTGAACAGCGCCTCTTCACACCTCTAGCTGTGAACAGGCCGCACAGCCGCAAGTGGCTCGCCCGCATCAAGTGCCGCGCCACCGAGGGGGTACCTTCTTCCGCAGCCGAGACGCGCCGAGAGGTGACCCTCGAGAGGTCGCAACCTCCTAGGCACCGCGGCACGGAGATGGTGCTGGGCGAGTTCGACAGCGAGCTCCAGGCGGCGCGCGCGTACGACGCGGCGGCGCGGCGCCTCAAGGGACACTTCCTAGACACTCCCCTAGACACTTCCCAGGCACTTCCTAGACACTTCCCTAGACACTTCCTAGAGACACTTCCCAGGCACCTCCTAGACACCTCCTAGACACTTCCCTCCACAGATCTAGACACCTCCTAGACACCTCCTAGACACCTCCTAGACACCTCCTAGACACCTCCTAGACGCGGCGCTGCGGTGCCCGCCATCCGCAGCCGAAGTGCCCCGAGATCACCCGAGATTGCAACCTCCAGGCGCCGCTGCGGTGCTCAACTTTCCGGCGGCGGCGGCTGAGCCGGTCGCCAGAGCGGCGGGCGGCGGTGGGGAGGCGGCGTCGGAGGCGGTTGAGGCGGCGGCGCCCCCTCGCAAGATTTGGATCGACGGGCGAGGGTTGGTGGAGTGATGGTGTGAGCAGCGTCTCTTCACACCTCCAGCTGTGAACAGGATCGACGGGCGAGGGTTGGTGGAGTGATGGTGTGAGCAGCGTCTCTTCACACCTCCAGCTGTGAACAGGATCGACGGGCGAGGGTTGGTGGAGTGATGGTGTGAGCAGCGTCTCTTCACACCTCCAGCTGTGAACAGGATCGACGGGCGAGGGTTGGTGGAGTGGCCGAGCGAGCAGTCGCTGCAGCAGATGAGCGAGCGGCTGCGCGGCAAGTGCGAGCGCTGTGGCGCACCCCTGCCCGAGAGGGCGGGCCGGCGTCTCTTCACACCTGCAGCGGTGAGCAGGTACGAGCGCGCGATGCAACGGGCCGAGAGCGACCCGGCCAGGTGCTGCCTAGGAAGTGTCTAGGAAGTGTCTAGGAAGCGTCTAGGAAGTGCCGAGGGTGACCCGGTACTGCCACCCCCACACGCCCCTCGTTGAGACCCCCCCTCGCCCCCACGCGTGTAGAGGCCGAGCGACACTTCCTAGACACTTCCTAGACACTTCCTCGCCCCCACGCGTGTAGAGGCCGAGCGAGCGACAGACTCACAACGACAACAACAAAGCAATGAGACTAGCAACGCTCCTCCCTAGAGGTGTGAATAGCTAGAGGTGTGAATAGCTCCCTAGAGGTGTGAATAGCAATGAGACTAGCAACGCTCCTCCCGGCTAGAGGTGTGAAGAGACGTGTCTAGGAAGTGTCTAGGAAGTGTCTAGACTAGCAACGCTCCTCCCGGCTGTCTAGGAAGTGTCTAGGAAGTGTCTAGACTAGCAACGCTCCTCCCGGGTCGCAGGTACACCGAGGCGTCGGTCTGCGGCACCGCCTCCGAGCTGGGCTACCTATTCACACCTCTAGAGCACTAGCTCACAGCTAGAGGTGTGAATAGGCACCGCCTCAGAGCAGGGCTATCGGCAGACCGGGGCGGCGGCCGGGGGGGCGAGGGAGGCGGCGCCGGCGGCGGTGGGCGAGAAGGAGGTGGGGGCGGAGGAGGAGGCGGAGGAGGGGGGCCGGCCTCTGGCTCGTGGCAGACACTTCCTGGACACTTCCTAGACACTTCCTATAGGCAGCTCTGGATCGTGGCAGCGCGCGCTGGCTCGCGCTGAGCGCGCTGCACGCGGGACGAAAGGCGACGGCCGACCTGATCGAGTACGCTGCGGCGCTGGCTAGGCTGGTGCCGACGCTGGCGGGCGCGGCGACGCCGGTCCCCGCCCTGGTCCGCGACTGCTTGTCTCGCGAGGGGCAGGCGGGGCAAGCGCCCGCCGCGCCCCTCTGGGCGGTGGCGTCTGTCCAGGCGTCGGGGCGGACCCTTCCTCGACACGTCCTCGACACTTCCTAGACCCTTCCTAGACCCTTCCTAGACACGTCCTAGACACGTCCTAGACACCTCCTAGACACTTCCTCGACACGTCTTAGACACTTCCCAGACCCTTCCTAGACACGTCCTAGACACCTCCTAGACACCTCCTGGACACCTCCTGGACACGTGACTTCTGGCGGTGGCGCCCGTCCTCAGCCCTCGAGACCTCGAGGGCAGCGCCACAAGAGTGCAAGCCGGCCCCCCCACCCCTCTGCCTGTAGGGGACCGGCGCCACCACGCGCGCCCTCTCCTACGCCCTCACGCCCGCCGGCGAGGCGCTGCGCGGCGAAATCGGCGCCGTCGATCCGCACGCCGTGATGCCGCCACGCCGCAAGCCCGCCTCCGCCTCCGGAGCCAAGCCGGCGTTCGGCTCGTCCTCGGCCGCCAAGCCCGCCGCCGCCAGGCCCGCCGCCGCCGCGCGAGACGCCGAGCCGAGGCCGCAGAAGCGGAAGCGGAGCGAGGAGGGGAGCGAGGAGGAGGAGCAGGAGGGGGGCGTGGAGCGGCTGCGGCGCGGCACGATGCGCCACTTCATCCTGCAGGCGCTGTGTGGCGGAGTGGACGGCACCGCATCGCGAGACAAGGTGGTCGAGCGCGTGTGGCGGAGGAGCTGATTAAGGTCGTTAAGGTAATTACCGGCAATTCACTTCATTAAGGTGGTCGAGCGCGTGGCGGAGGAGCTGATTAAGGTCGTTGAGGTAATTACCGGTAATTCACTTCATTAAGGTGGTCGAGCGCGTGGCGGAGGAGCTGATTAAGGTCGTTAAGGTAATTACCGGCAATTCACTTCATTAAGGTGGTCGAGCGCGTGGCGGAGGAGCTGATTAAGGTCGTTGAGGTAATTACCGGCAATTCACTTCATTAAGGTGGTCGAGCGCGTGGCGGAGGAGCTGATTAAGGTCGTTAAGGTAATTACCGGCAATTCACTTCATTAAGGTGGTCGAGCGCGTGGCGGAGGAGCTGGTTAAGGTCGTTGAGGTAATTACGGCAATTCACTTCATTAAGGTGGTCGAGCGCGTGGCGGAGGAGCTGATTAAGGTCGTTAAGGTAATTACCGGCAATTCACTTCATTAAGGTGGTCGAGCGCGTGGCGGAGGAGCTGATTAAGGTCGTTGAGGTAATTACCGGCAATTCACTTCATTAAGGTGGTCGAGCGCGTGGCGGAGGAGCTGATTAAGGTCGTTGAGGTAATTACCGGCAATTCACTTCATTAAGGTGGTCGAGCGCGTGGCGGAGGAGCTGATTAAGGTCGTTGAGGTAATTACCGGCAATTCACTTCATTAAGGTGGTCGAGCGCGTGGCGGAGGAGCTGATTAAGGTCGTTGAGGTAATTACCGGCAATTCACTTCATTAAGGTGGTCGAGCGCGTGGCGGAGGAGCTGATTAAGGTCGTTGAGGTAATTACCGGTAATTCACTTCATTAAGGTGGTCGAGCGCGTGTGGCGGAGGAGCTGATTAAGGTCGTTAAGGTAATTACCGGCAATTCACTTCATTAAGGTGGTCGAGCGCGTGGCGGAGGAGCTGATTAAGGTCGTTAAGGTAATTACCGGCAATTCACTTCATTAAGGTGGTCGAGCGCGTGGCGGAGGAGCTAATTAAGGTCGTTAAGGTAATTACCGGCAATTCACTTCATTAAGGTGGTCGAGCGCGTGGCGGAGGAGCTGATTAAGGTCGTTAAGGTAATTACCGGCAATTCACTTCATTAAGGTGGTCGAGCGCGTGGCGGAGGAGCTGATTAAGGTCGTTGAGGTAATTACCGGTAATTCACTTCATTAAGGTGGTCGAGCGCGTGGCGGAGGAGCTGGGGGACGCGTCGCGGCGGCACACAGTCGTCACCACTCTCACCAAGGAGAAGACGCGGCCGGCGCCTCTCTGGGCCGCGAGGTGCATCCACTGAACTAACCTCTAATGTTCTCAATCAGCTGAATGCACTGAGTGAGCCGAATGAACTGAGTTGGCCCTCTTCTGGGTCGCGAGGCTCTTCTCGAGCGCCGACGAGGAGGACGCGTTTCGGCAGAGGGAGGGGATGCTGCACGCGAGCGCCTTCTACGCCCTCACGCCTCTCGGCAGGAGGGTTGCCGGCTGCGACTTTGAGGTTGTGACGCAGATCGTCTGCGACGGGTGCGAGTGTGACTTCGAGCTGACTCCGGGGATGGTCGTGCCGGAGGGCGAGTGGTACTGCGGCCAGTGCGGCGGCGGCGGCGCCGGCGAGGGCAAGGAGGGCGAGGAGGGCGAGGAGGGCGAGGAGGGCGAGGGGGAGTGGGTGGAGGGGTGGCGCCTCCACGTGTCGAGCCGCAGCAACACAGGCTACAAGGGCGTGTACGCCCATCCGAGCGGGCGGTACGAGGCGTCACGCAACGACACTCGTGGCGGACGGCGCAAGGTCTACATCGGCTTGTTGAGACGGCGGTGGAGGCGGCGGTGGCGTACGCGAAGGCTGTCGGCAAGGCGGAGGAGGAGGGCGAGGAGGAGGAGGAGGGCGAGGAGGAGGAGGAGGGCGAGGCGGGCGACGAGGACGAGGAGGACGACCAGGACGAGGAGGACGAGGAGGAGGAGGAGGAGGAGGAGGAGGAGGAGGAGGAGGAGGGGGAGCAGGCGCGGGAGGCGGCGGCGGCGGCGGCGGCGGAGGCCAAGGCGGCGGCGGCGGCGGCGGCGGCGGAGGAGGAGGAGGAGGAGGAAGGGGCGGCGGTGGAGGAGGAGGCGGCGGCGGCGGTTCGCGCGGAGCGAAGAGGCTACGAGAAGGTTCCGAGAAGGTTCCGAGAAGGTTCCGAGAAGGTTCCGAGAAGCGGCCGCGGCGCTACGAGGGGGGCGAGGACGACAGCGGGGCGGTGGCGGAGGAGGCGGAGTGGCTGCGGCCGCACGCTCGAGGTGTGGACGGCGCCTCTTCACAGCCTGCAGCTGTGAGCAGGCGGAGGGGCTGCGGCTGCACCTCTCGAGCAGCAGCAGCACCGGGTACAAGGGCGTGCGGCAGGACACCACCAGCGGCGCCTTCCGGGCGGACCACCGCGTGGACGGGCGGGCAAAGCACATCGGCACCTTCGGCTCGGCGGTGGAGGCGGCGGTGGCGTACGCGCGGGCGGTGGGCGGCGCCGCGCCGCCCGCGCCCGCGCCCGCGCCCCAGGCGGCTCTGTCGAAGCGCCGGGCCGCCGCCTCCTCCTCCTCCTCCGCCTCCGCCTCCGCCTCCTCCTCTGCCGCCGCGGCGCTCGCCTCCGAGGCCGCCGCCGCAAAGGCTCGCAATCTATGAAGCACTGAAGTGCGTCTTTCATCGCGTCTTGAACTCACCCAGGCCGCGCCCGAACCACACCAGGCGGCAGAGCAGGCGGCCGAGGCGGCGGTGCTTGCGGCGCAGCACGCCGCCGCCGCCGCCACGCGGAGGCTCGCCACCGCCACCGCCGCGCCTCGGCCGTCCTGCGGCGGTCCTGGCGGCGGCGGCGGCGGCGCGGGCGGCAGCGGCGCGGGAGGTGCGGCGCGGGCGGCGGCGGAGGTTGCGAGGGAGGCTGGCAGGCAGCGGGCGAGGGAGGCGGCGGGCCGCGCCGCGGCGCAGCCGGAGACGGCGCCCGCGTTTTGGCACGGAGCTCGACCCGCGAGGTTCGGAGAGATTCGCCGAGATTGCTCGAGACTAGGCGCGCCCGTTTGGCGCGGCGTGGGCGCAGAGGCTGAAGCGCTGCCGCGTGTGCGAGCCATGCACGCGGAAGCGCGGCGAGGCGTGCGAGGGGGACTTTGACGAGGCCGGCGAGCCGATGCTGCCAGAGGCGCGCGAGATTCAGCCGAGATTGAGCCGAGGCGGGCCGAGGCTGGTCGAGGCGGGGGAGCCGTTGCTGGTCCCCATCTGTAGACTCAGTCGCGTCAAACAGTTGTGTGTGTGTGTGTGTGTGTGTGTGTGTGTGTGTGTGTGTGTGTGTGTGTGTGAAGTGTGACCGCCTTCTCTTCTCTCTATAGGGAGTCAGCGTGGGGGACGCGTGCCTCGCCGAGACCGTGCAGGCGATGCACTGAAAAGGACGGGTTGATTGATTAATAAATGGCGAGTTGAATCATGAATTACGCGCCTCGTCTCGAGACTCCGTGGTGTGCAGGCGGGCGAGCGGAAGAGACTCAAGGGGGCGCGCGCCCCTCTCCGCCAAGACGTCGCCGCACTGCTAGCTTGTTCCTCAGTCAAGTGTTGTCACCGCACTAGGTGCTGCTCTCCGCGCGCAAGACGTCGCCGCACCTCTGCGCGTCAAGTTCGAGAGTACCCGAGAGTACTCGAGGCCACACCCGAGATTGCCCGAGATTAGGTCGCCACATTTGCTCGTCAAGTTCGTCGGCACGGAGAGGGGCGAGCCCTTCACCGGTCTCAGCCCAGAGCAGTGCACGCAGATGGTCGAGAAGCACCACGTGTACATGCTGAACAATGGCCGCGTCTCCATGGCCGGCGTCACCTCGAAGAACGTCAAGTACATCGCCAAGGCCATCGACGACGTGGTGCGCAACTTCTGAGAGCGTCGACGATAATTGTCCCGCCCCGCGCGGCTGGTTGCGCTCTGCCTGCATAATGGTCCATTTCAGTAGTTTACGTGTGAGGAGGCAGGAACTGCATAGGAGAGAGAGGGGGGGGGGGGGGGTTCTCTTGGGCGCCAAAAGATCTCTCACCCCAAGCAGGCTGCTGCAAGCACCGCCACCAAGCACCGGGCACCGCACACTCGACACCCCGCACGCGGGTTTTTCTTGGGTCATCACTGCACTTGGTCCCCCCACATTTCATGCTCGCGCTCAAGTTCATCGTCATCGCCTCGCTGGCCTCGGCCGACGCGTTCAAGGCCGTCAAGACCTCGCCCGTCGTGAAGTCCTCCGTCGCCATGAAGCAGGTCCTGCCCTCTTCTGCCACCTCCGCTCTCGCCCTCTCCGTGGTGGCGGCGGTCTCGCTTCGGTCCCGTACTACTCGATGATCTTCTACACGCTGATCTTCTCCGGTGGCGACCCAGCAGGCGTCTTGACGGGCATCAAAAATTCTTCCCTACAGAGAGGCCAACGGACCCCAGAAAAATAATTTTACAAGAAAACTCCCTCTCACGACACTGGGCACGGGACTGGCGCGCACTGGCAGTAGGTAGGTAGGTAGAAAGGTGAAGAACAGCCAGGCTCGGACTGGACACCAACGCGGTATGGGTGGACGCTGGACAGATGATGACGACACGCACGAGCGACACACAGACACAAACAGGCTCACAAGACACACAGCCATCTGGCTGCCACACACCCTGAGTCGGCGTACACATAACTCAGGGCCACATCCTCCCTGTCGCCCCCCCCCAGCACTCCACGGTGCCAAGGGCACAAACAAGGGCACAACAAACAACAGACGACAGGAAGTGACATGTGAGGCTAGAGCAGCTTGCTCCACCTCTAGCAATCTCACCGGCCTGCGAGGCACGGACGAGACCGTATGTGGGGTCTAGTAAGGTGTCTATGGACGCTCTTCTCATGGGCTAGCTGCCTGCGGCTAGCCCTTCTCGCACTCACAGGCGATGACAATCCAATGTATGAGCACACAGGTTCGACACACTTGGAGCACTTGGAGCACTTGGAGTGCAGTCGGCAACCTCACATCCAGGGCCGGTGAGCTGAGAAGCGCATCCAGCGGGCCGGATGATCGGCATCGGGCTACGGGCTAGAGAGCCCTGACCCCTAGCTAGGGGGGGGGGGCGCGCATTCGCAGGGCCATAACACGTCTCCGAGGGTTAGTTCTGCGCTCCGGGTTTCCCCCAGCGGCGGAATTTTCCCTCGCGCTGTGGGTCCCCCTAGCTGCGGAACGCCCCCTCTACTCGGAGCTAAAGAATACTCTCCGAGGGTTAGCCCCGCGTACCAGGTTTCCCCTTAACTGCAGGACGCTGCCCTCTACTCGGAGCTAGTGGACACGACACTAACTACTGATACGAGAATACATACCGCCCCCACGCAACTACTCGAAGATAATACGAGAATACGCAGCTGCGAGACGCCTATAAAGAAACAGCGAGGTAAAGTTCGGCGGCTATGATAAACCGAAAGTTGTCGTAAAACGCGGGCGAAAGCAAAGCAGACGGCGGGCGCTTTCTGCCGCAGCGATGCCCGCAGCCTGTCGAGCAGCTTCCGCGGCGCACATGCGCCGCGGGGTTGAACGACAGCCGCGCCTCTCGAGCCACCCGTGCCACGCGCGGCGACGCGCACCCTGCGCGCCAGTCGGCGCACTGGCAGTACTGCACCAGCCAGCACGGCGTGGAGCAATGCATCCAGGGCATTGTGTTGGGCGCCAGCCAGCATGCCTCAGCACAGAGCAAGAGCGCATGCTGCGCACCCTGGCGCAGCACCAGCTCGCCTCCAATCAGGCACTCTCACCACTGCACAGCCGCCCACGAGCGCCCGCAGCTGCACTGCTCAACCCTCAAGCTCAGGAGCCTCCCCTTGTTGTCGCAGCTTTGTGCAGTGCAGCGTGCGAGCAGCGCAGCGCCAGGCAGACCCGTGGCACGCCCGGGCGGCTGTGGGACGGAGGCCCGCCGAGCGAGTGCGAGCCGCATCGGCGGCCATGTCTCCCGCAGCCGCGAGCGAGCGGTGCAAAGAGGCAGCGTCGCGCATGCTTTTCCGTAACGGTCCACTCTTTTCTGGCCAGGTACCCAAAAAGAATTTCGCTCAGAAACAGAGCGGTGAGCTTGGCAATCATCCGCGGACCAACACTCGATTGCCAGGCATGCCGCCGCGATTCGAGAGCTCCTCTGCCCCACCGCCGCGCCGCGCCACCATCGCCTCAGTTCGCCCGAAGGGGCCAGCCTGGGCCTCACGCTAGCGCGCCCGCGCAGCGATCGCCCGCCAGCCTGGCGCAGCGATCGCCCGCCAGCGTTCGCTTGGGTCCCACCGCCTCCTTTCCTCTGGACTCACCGCCCTCATCATGCTTAGCACGAGCCAATGTACACCCCATGCGTGCTAATCGGGGCGTAGCAGCTGATGAGTTTCTCCCTGTGCAGGAGCATCTTTCTACGCCGCCGCATCATCACACGTGCCATGATGTCCGTCAGCCCTCGGTCCATCGGGGCCCCGGTCCCAGTGTGTGTCGACCCCATCGCTCCTCCCAATAGGTACCCTCCCAATACGCCGAAGCCATCCATGGCGTACGTTGCGGAGCAGCGCAAAGCGAACCAGCCGCCGCTGCAGGACCTGTATGAAGACATCCGCTCGCACGCCCCCTTCTGGATGCTCCAGTCGAAGCTCAGCATAAGCGTGCCGGACAAAAACAAGAACAAGGACGGCCCGTTTACGTTGGACAACTCGTACTACGAGCGTCCCGACACGTGCTTGGGCAAGTGCCAAGACAAGATTTGTGGCCCGCTAAAGTACCAGTACAACAAGGTCGACTTCGTCCCCGTGCTCAAGCAGGTGGACCAGGCAAACGGCGGAAGCCCTCTGTCGCCTAACGCGCCCGCGTCGGTGCATCTCAACGACAGGCCGTTCGGTGCGAGAGACCGAGAGTGCCCGGACCCCGAACGGATTCATTCTTAATAGGGCGACACTAAGTACCTTGCGATGGGCTCCGTCTTCGAGAACGGGTGCAAGTACTGGCTTGACGACCGATTCTTCCTCGTCGAGGTGGGAAACCCGTACGAGATCGGGGGCGTGCCCTTCGCGGGCGAGATCGGCTCGTACATCCTCTCATTCTCGGGGACAGAGGGCCCGGATGGACTCATCGGGCAAGTTCTTTGCCAAGACGGCATCTGCGGTGCCCCGGGCTGCTGCCCCTGCTTTGGGTACGACAAATGGACGGCCGACAAACTGAAGGTCACGGACAAGGCGAACGACGAACACACGTACTGCGTCTACACGCACGAGCTCGAGGTGTCCACAAACACCCCACGCCCGCATCGCACGCCCCCACACAGACTTAGCCAGAGCACCTCTCGCCCTTAGGCGAACGACAAGATGTTTGCCAGCACCGACACGATGAAGGGCCTGACAGAGGCGGCTCGCCAATTGCGCAAGTCCCGCTTATCATTTGTCGGCCTATGATGCCGGCGCGCTTCACTGTAGGCGCTCGAGGAGTGCCACTTCAAGGACGGCGACAAGAAGATCACGATCGTGGGGTGGAGCCTCGGCGGCGCCCAGGCTCAGATCGCCGCGGTCCGAATCGCCGTCGAGTACAACGCCAAGGTGCGGCTCATCACTTTCGACTCCATTCTCGCCTTCACGCCGGATTCGGCCGAAGTGATCGCCCACAACTTGATCGACAACGACGCGTTCGGCACCGACAAATTCCCGCAGGAGGGAAAGATCAACGCGCAGCGGTGCTCTTAACGGCATGCCGTTCGAGAGAGATCGAACACCCTCCCCATATGATGTTTGATTTTGAACAGGTGGGTGGAGGACGACTCGCCGGCGTCGATCGCCCCTTTCGTCTGGCCGATGATGGGATGCTGCCCCTTCAGCCCCAACAAGACCAAGTACGCGGGCTGCTACCCCTTCATGCGCAAGATTGGCTACGGCCACATCTCAAAGGCGCTGATCCTGAGCGGCTACCACTCCGGATTGCTGCCGTGCGGCGGAGGTACGTAGAGAGATCCAGCGCGATCTGTCGGAGACTTAGTGAGTTCCTGGTGAGTTAGCAAGAGTGGCTGACGACGACTTTCTCGACACCCTCTGCTGCCTCAGGCACGCCTACCTGGACCAACCTCGGCTGCATCCCAAAGAATCTGTGCTTCCTGTGCGAATCCAACCCGACCTACCCAGACGACTCGTTTTATTCGAAGCCGCCGGAGGACCGCATGTACGTGACCAAGGCAGCAAACCTCTGGCGCTGCTTCTTCTGCGGGTACCTCCTGTGTGCCCCGGGCACCGTGTGCAACCACCGGGGGCAGTTCCTGCTCTGGATGCTCTACAAGGGGGCGTACCAGAACGCGGACCCTGTGGGCTACCAGCCGGCGGTCTCCCCTGAGAACCCGGAGATGGACCGCATTTAGACGGTCTTCCCAGAGGGGAGGGGGACTGCCCGGCGGGAGCAGACATATGGGCAGGCATCTGATGCCTTCCTCCCACCTCTCGCCCGGTGCGCCCTGTGCATGGACCTTAGTCGTTGCAGTCCCCGCATGACCCTGAGTGTGCGGTCTGCCGGTCTCTCTTGAAATCTCTCGCGTGTGCGGTGTGCATGCGCGCGAGCCGGGTCACTGTGGTTGCACAACAACGAGTGCTGTGCATATGTGGAGTTGTGATAGACCGCGGAGCTCCGCCCACGGACTCCGCGTAGCGCGTTGCTCCGTGTGGCGCATATTGTCGCGTGGGGTGCTCTCTGGTGAGTGAGACTCTCTCCCTCGAGGACTTGCCGTACACTGGTCTCTAGTCTCTACGGATGTGGGCCGTCGCAATAAATTAAGTTGGCCGCGGTCGCGCCCCAGGGTCGCAGGCGTGCGTTGCGATGGCCGCTTTGGATGTCATCGATGACAACTTTGTTGACAACTACCACCTCGTGCTTATCTCGTCTGACGGCGCCCTGACCATGGCACGGCCCTCTTCGACTTCGTCTGTCCCAATATGCGACGGTGTATCATTCACCTTATGCCACCGTTGCATATCCTAAGGTGAATGATACACCGTCGCAAAAAGGGATATGCAACGGTGGCATAAGGTGAATGATACACCGTCGCACAATAGCATCGGGCCGAAACGCGTAATGAAGATCAGCACGCCTGATGCTCAACTCCTCGAGACGCTGGAACTTCCCATCGGCCTTGCGCGTCGCGGCGGCTGCCACGGCGAGGCGGCTCTTCATCACCCTAAACGAGGGGGGTGATTGTCGCGTGATTGTCGTCAACACCGAGGCGGGTCGGATGAGGATACAAACTACCTTTGGCGGAGAAACTGGAGAAGGCGGCCTCCGCTGGCTGCATGAGCCAGCCGGGATCGCTGTGCACGACGACTTGGTGATCATCGCCGACTGCTGCGGTCTGTCGGCGTCAGAGGGGGCCAAGGAACGACGCGAGGCAGGGATCGACGCGACGCCTAGCCTGCACGTGTGCACGAGCGAGGGCGCCAGGCTTCGCACGATTACTGGCTTCTTCAACCCGTGCGACCTCGTGATCGCCGGCGGTCGGTTGTACGTCTCGAACATGTGGAACAGGCGAGCTGTATGGGCCGCAGCACGTACCATGGGCGCCAGGGCCGCCGACAGGCTAGCGAGCGGTGTTGAGAGGCCCGGTGTAGAGGACGGTGAGGCGACGTCAGAGCTGCGGGAGGCGTGGCGCGTTCAGGCCCGGCGGGTGCACGCTCTCACGCTGCCAGCCCTCGAGCCAGCTCCTCTCGTGGACGAGATGCTGGGGGTCGCTCAGATGCGGCTCGTGGACGACATGCTGACAGGTACAGACGCAGCTCGTGATCTTCGTCCTCTCAGTCACTCGCGCTTTCACAGCCCCGGCAGCTTGTTTGTCTGCGGGGAGCTGCTCTGTTCTGTGAATGACGGCGTGTTCGCGTTGTAGCTTCCGAAATGTTGAGAGGCCAGGAGGGACTCTAATGTTGAGAGCCCTGGTGGGGCGTGGTCGACGTTTGTTTGTGTTTTCAGTAGTAAACAGCGCGCCACGACCTACTGTCGCACCTGGTTCTCCAGCGAGAGTCCAGTCGTGTCTCTACTCTGCCGTCTTGGTCTACACCAAGCTGCGTTCTGACGCGCGCTCCTCCCCTCTGCCTCTCTCGCTCCCGGAATCGCGTCGCGACAGCTCTCTCACAGCCGCATCTTTCGCGGTCGTCGGGTCGCGAAGGGTCCGCGCGACGTGCGCGATGTCATCTGCGTCCTGCGACATGGCGGCGCTCGAGTGGCGCAGCCCGAAGAGCGGCTTTGTGCACGGGAAGGGCGGCGAGAAGGTGTGCACGTGCAGCAGCGCGAAGTTGCGCAGCGGCCGCTCGAAAAAGCGGCCCGAGCCGGGCGTGTGCGCGGGCGTTGCCGCTGTTGAGTGTTGAGCTGCCACGCCTCTCTGAAAGCTCAGCCGCTTCGCGTCTTCTCTCTCTTGTCTTCTCAGGTTCTCTCTCTTTGTGTACTTTGTCGTAAGAAAACGAAAATCAAGACCCAGGCGAGAGCAGGCGAGCTGGTGGGAAGAACAGGCGGCCTCAAGAAAAGAATTAACGCGCCACTCGACGGCTCCACTCGTGACACGCCCTGACGCCTGAGCTCATGTTCTCTCGAGTCGAGGAGTCTATCTACACACGAGCGACCGCGGGGTCGAAGCTCACCCACTCGCCCACCCCGTTGCCGCCGCCCTCCGCCTCCCCGTTACCGCCGCCGCTCGCCGCCGCCGCGGCCCCCTTGACGCGGCTCCCCAAGTCCTCGAGCTCGACGCTCGCCGCGCGTGCGCCCGCAGGCAGCATCGGCACGTACTCAAGAACAGGTTGGCGTCGGGGGCGTGGGTGGTAATGCGCGTGCGGTGCCCCGCAGCCTCCGCTCGCGCGGGATAGAGAGAGGTGCGCACCGCAGAGCCCGGCACTGAGACCTCCGACATGCCCTCATCGGGCGACCCGGCGGCCGAGCCGAACGAGCCCATCGATCCGACACGCTCGATCGACCTCGCGTCGCCGAAGCCCTCGAGGGCGCGCGACGCGGCGTCCGACGCCTCAGAGGCCATCGCAGCGGAGGAGGAGGCGCCGCACCTGTGGAGGGGGAGGGGGGGAGGAGCAGGGGGGGGGGGGGGGGGGGACCTCCGCGTGGGGAGGATCTCTCTGCATGGAAGACTGTCTCATTGCCGCAAGGCTCGCAGGTGTGTCGCAGCTCAAGTTGAGGTCCCTGGCTACGGGACGGCGACCGTCGAGCTGAAGTCCGAGAAGGCCGCGGGTGACCGCGAGCCTGTGCAGGCGGCGGAGCGCTCGTTCATCGAGCGCACCGCGTCGCGGAAGGAGAAGCCGACGGAGGAGCAGAAGGAAGCTCGGGCCGCGGCTCGCAGGGCCAAAAAGGCCCGGCAGAAGAAGAACAAGGCGGAGAAGGCTGCGGCGGCGGCTGCGAGCGAGGCCGAGCGTGCGGACTACCCGCACGCGCAGCTACCACAAACGCGGCACGGCCCGTTTTGGCTGTCTGCGGAGATTTTGTCTTATAGCACACACAGTGAGTCATTCGGAGTCATTCGATGGCCAGAGTGCGATTGTGTGTGTGTGCGGGAGTTGGTTTGTCGGGAGGGAGGGGCAGGCTGCTCACCCACGTGCACCGGGCCAGTGCTTGCACTTTGAATGCCGTGGGGCTCCTGCCATGTCCGGGTGTGGAGATGGCATGCGAGGGTCGCCCCCCCTTGCCCCACCACTTGTGTGTGTGGAGAAATTTACCTTCCCTTACCTAGACCTTACCCGTCGCTCACCTCTGCCGCGCACGGCGCACCGCCTGAGGCTGAGCCTCACTTTAAACGTGGCCCTTCATCGCCTCCCGTGTTCTGAAAACTCGAGAGGTAAAACGAAACAAATCTCTCTCTCACGAGTGCCCCTGCGTGGTCTAGACGTCCCCCTCACTCACTCAAACAACCTCGCCGCCTCGGCCAACCTCGCCGCCTGGAGGGTCCCGCGCCGCCGCTCATCGTCGACGATCGCCGCCACGGCGCGCGCCGCCGATCCGTTAGGCCGACTGCTGAGCACGCCTCCGCCACCTACAGGACAGCTCCGAGAAGGCTCATCGACGGTCCATGGAACACGCCTCGCCGCCTCCGTGCCTCGCTTGCGCCTCCGCCGCCGGCCTCGCTTACGCGCGAGCGAAGGCCACGCCTATAGGAAGCGTCTAGGAAGTGACTAGGGCGTGTCTAGGAGGTCTAGCTCACGCGCGAGCCAAGGCCACGCCTCTCCAACTCGGCGTTCAGCTGGTCCTGCTCACAGCAGACGGTGTGAAGAGACGCTGCTCACAGCGCCTCCAAGACCCCGCGTGCGGCCGGTCCCGCGGGGCCAGCTGCCAGGGTCTAGGAAGTGTCTAGGAAGTGTCTAGGAAGTGTCTAGGAAGTGTCTAGGAAGTGTCCTGCGGGGCCAGCTGCCAGCGCCGCTGCAGCGAGGCGCGCTCGCTGTCCCACGGAGCATCCCGCAGCGCCGCGGCGGCTAGTGCCCGCGCCTGAGCACAGACGGCCCGACATCTCATCAGCGAGATTGCCCGAGATTACCCGAAATCACCCGAGATTACCCGAGACTAACCGAGATTCCGCGCCTGAACACAGGCAGCTCGACTCGACCCGAGAGATAGGCAAGTGGAGTCGCGGTGGCGTGAGCCCCCAGCCTCCCTCCCGTCCGCCGTCTCTGCCACACGCCCCAGCTCCCTCCGCACAGCCTCCGCCGTCGCCTCGCTCAGCCACTCTGCCGAGGCGACCGCCGCCGCCGCCTCCTCCGCCACCAGCCAAGCCTGGTCGGCGACACGCCTCGGGTAATCTCGGGTAATCTCGGGTAATCTCGGGTAATCTCGAGTCAAACCTGGTCGGCGACACGCCTCGGGTAATCTCGGGTAATCTCGGGTAATCTCGGGTAATCTCGGGGAATCTCGAGCCAAACCTGGTCGGCGACACGCCTCGCCAGCGCCACGAGCCACGGAGCCTCGGGCGGGGCGGAGAGGAGGAGCGGCGGCGGCGTCCGCAGGGTGGCGACAACCAGCCTGTTCACAGCTGCGCGGTGTGAAGAGGCGCGGGCTCCCACCCGCACGACGCGGCCGGCGACGTCTCCGCCCTCTCATCCCTCGCGCCGCGGCGAGGCGGACGGCCGAGTCCGAGCTGTCCAGCCGACGAGCCGCCGCGAGTCCAACCTCGAGCGCCGCTCGCCGCCACAGCTGCCCGCCACCCCTCTCCCCAAAAGCGGCCCCCCTCGCCGCCTCCGCCTCCCCCCTCGCCGCCTCCGCCTCCCCCGCCGCCTCCCCCCTCGCCGCCTCCGCCGCAGCTTCCGCCGCCACTTCGGCTGCGAGGCCGTCCGCTGCGGTGGAGAGGAGGAGGGAGAGGGCGGCGTGGTCTGCCTATAGGAAGTCTCTAGGAGGTGTCTGGAGGTGTGTGGGAGGTGTGTAGGAGGTGTGTAGGAGGTGTGTAGGAGGTGTCTAGGAGGTGTCTACGAGGTGTGTGGGAGGTGTCTAGGAGGTGTCTAGGAGGTGTCTAGGAGGTGTCTAGGAGGTGTCTAGGAGGTGTCTAGGAGGTGTCTAGGAGGTGTCTAGGAGGTGTCTAGGAGGTGTCTAGGAGGTGTCTAGGAGGTGTCTAGGAGGTGTCTAGGAGGTGTCTAGGAGGTGTCTAGGAGGTGTCTAGGAGGTGTCTAGGAGGTGTCTAGGAGGTGTCTAGGAGGTGTCTAGGAGGTGTCTAGGAGGTGTCTAGGAGGTGTCTAGAGGGCGGCGCGGTCTGCCGTCGCGACAGCGTCGAACCAGCCGCAGAGAGCTGCGCGGCACCGCTCGCGCCACGCCTCGGAGAGCGCCTTGAGCCGAGCGAGAGAGCTGTGAACAGCGTCTATTCACACCTCTACTTAATTAAGTCAAGGCCTTGAGCCGAGCGAGAGAGCACAGCGGCAGCCTCGCCACCAACTCCTCCACACAATACTCGTCCCCGATCGCCTCCGAGAGCGAGCGCGGCGGCGGCCCCACGGCGGCGGCGGCACTGCAACCGCATACAGCGCACACTGGCGCCGTGCCCGCGGCCCCAGCCGCCACCGTGATTGCGTTGCCGGCGGAGGCGGAGCTGCATCCCGGCGCGGCGGCGCCGCCGCCGCCGTGCGCGCGAGCCAGAGCTGCGCTGCCGGGGCGAGTCGAGAGCGGCTCCAGCGGCGCGTCCTCGTGCGGCGCCTCGCCTGGAGATTGCAATCTCGGGTCGTCTCGGGGTATCTCGGCGCGTCATCGAGCGGCGCCTCACCTCCTCCCGCCCCGTCTCCTCCACAGCCGAGCGCGGCGCGCGCCGCGCTAGGCGACAGCTGGACCAGCGCCGCCGCGACGCGCGCGCAGAGCGGCTCAAGCAGCGCGTCCACCCCGAGGTAGCCTAGACACTTCCCAGACACTTCCTAGACACTTCCCAGACACTTCCCTAGCGCGTCCACGCCGAGGTAACCGCTCGCGCGCAGCAGCGGGAGCAGCGTCGGCAGCGGCGCCGCCGCGACAACGTCGGCGGACGTCGAGCCGCCTCCAAGACGAAGGCAAGCGCCGCACGCCGCGCGGAGGGTGGCGGGGCTTAGCGCGTTGCGCCCGCCGCCCGCATCGACCGTCAGTGCGCCTCCGCCCTCGCCGTCGAGCTCCACCGCGGTGGCCAGAGTCGTGCAGACTGCGGCGGCGGCGCGAGGGAAGAAGACGCGCTCTCCGCCCGCCGCGACGACCCACACCGCGCCCGCCTCGTCCTCGTCGTTTCCGGACGGCGCCTCCGAAGAGGCTGCACGCGCAGCGGGAGGCGGCCGGCGCGGAATCGGCGATTCACACGCGACTTCGTCGTAGAAGAGGGATGCTTCGGAGAGGTCAGAGGCGCAGGACTGGAGGGAGGAACGGAGCGATTGGAGCGATAGGCGGTCGGGCATCTGTCTCGTTCCTAATTTCGTTCCGAGCGGCGGGGTGGGGGGCGTATGAGTCGGCCCAAACAAGAAAAAAAGAGGGGGCGGGCACGTCTTTCCGCATGACGACACACTCCTAGACGCCCGCCGTCGAAGCTGGGAGGATGTATGGAGGAATGGTAATGACCTCTCCGGATTGGTTGAGCCCCGGCATCGATGGCGGGAAGAGGGAGGATCCCCGCCCCTATCCCTCAGTTTAATCCCCGAGAGGGGAGGCAGAGCCTCTGGCGCGGTGAGAGCACCCGTACGCTCTCAAGGCCGACCCCCCCCCTCTCCGGTTCAGATCACGACCCCCTCGGAGGGGGCCGGGCGAGGCGTACCCCGAGGGCCCCGCTCTTTCCCGGCAGCGGCGCGCGCGCGCACACACAGGAGCTGCGGGAGCAGAGGCTCATGCACACGCTCATGCACGAGGTGCCGTGGAAGCTGCACGAGGTGGTGCCGCCCGGCTTGTGCCCGTGGCTGGCCGACCTCCCACCGCCAAGCAAGCCCCGACGCCGGCCCCGACGCCGCAAAGGCAAGGCGGCCAGCAAGTCCAAGGAGCGCAACGCGACGCCACGGGCAGGAGCCCCGCCGCCGGCCGATCCTCACCAGGACGCGGTGGAGACGCAGGAGCAGGTTGCTATGCGATGATGGAGTCTGTGGGTGTCGGCTAGGTCCCGATTCTAGTCCCGATTCTAGTCCTGATTCTAGTCCCCAATGCGGTCAGGAGAGAATATTAACCTTCTCCCGACCACACCGGACGGCGATGCAGACGCCATCCGGCATGTTCCATAATGTGTATGTTCAAAGGACTAAAAAGAGATAAGTACAAGTAAGAGATCAGTACAAGTAAGAGGTGGAAACTACATGGGTCGGAGGACCTGGGCGCACCTCTCTCTCTCTCTCTCTCTCTCTCTCTCTCTCTCTCTCTCTCTCTCTCTCTCTCTCTCTCTCTCTCTCTCTCTCTCTCTCTCTCTCTCTCTCTCTGCAGAGATCCCCATCTCCTCTCCCGACGAAGCTGCTCCGTCATCCTGGATGCTGGAACACCTGCCGCAGCATGACCTCGTGCTCTGCAAACAGGTTCCCGCACTTCCTTCCCTCCAGCCACTTTTGCACTGCCGCCAGGCTCTGAGTCGGCTGCACGCGAAAGCCGAGTTCTGCTGCCGCCAGCGCCGCTCCGGACCAGCCCCAGAGACGGCTGCTGGCGGCCGTGCACCGCTTGCACTTGGCGAAGACCGAGTCGCCGTGCCGGCTCGCCGTGCACGCCATCCAGTCATGCGTGAACAAGTTCGCCGTCACAAAGGCCTGCAGGCGCTTCTGCACCTTGGCCTCAATGAGGCCTGCAGGCAACGCTGGGCCCAGGCAAGCTGTGGCCTCGGCTGTGGCTCTAGTACGGTACTCCGTGAGCTTGCCTCTCATGCACTCGCTGTTCTCCGATACAAATTTCTGGATGGCCGCTTTGGAGAAAGCTGTTTCGTGTGAGAGAGCTTTCTCAATCCATGCCGGCTGCATGCTTGCGAGGAGCCGATCGACGATGACGGCCATCATTGCTGCGTCCCCGGTGTCCGTCGCATACGAGGCGGCCAGCGTGCACGCCGCGTGCGCAGACGGAGGCAGTGAGGGTGGCGCCGAGGGAGGGAGCATGCATCGCCCGGAGGGGAGGTCAAGCAGCGAAGGGATCTGGCCTTTGGCCGCGGCAAAGTGCGCAGCTCCAGCAGCGCTGCCTCGCTGCCCAGGCCAGCGAGAGCCTTTTTAAGGCACGGACAGGCCTCCAGCAGAGCGCCAAGGCGTTGAATGGACTGCTGCTCGTGCAAGGGCATGCAGTTGACAGCGAGGCGTGCGCAGGTGCCCTCCCAAGCAACGTCTTGAGACACGCTCGACCCGTATGCGTCCCGGCTCTTCGGCAGGGCCAGTGCCGCTTTGAAGGCGAGTGCAAGCTTGCCCTCCCGGACCGCCCACGAGACGAATGCATGGGTGCCACGCCCGTCGGCAGAGTCAATCTTGGGCAACGCCACAAGCACGCGATCGACGTACGCGGCAGGGTCCGAGGCGTGGCGATAACGCTCAAAGAAGAAGTCCATGACGAGCATGCATCGCCCGGAGGGGAGGTCAAGCAGCGAAGGGATCTGGCCTTTGGCCGCGGCAAAGTGCAGCGAGCTCCAGCAGCGCTGCCTCGCTGCCCAGGCCAGCGAGAGCCTTTTTAAGGCACGGACAGGCCTCCAGCAGAGCGCCAAGGCGTTGAATGGACTGCTGCTCGTGCAAGGGCATGCAGTTGACAGCGAGGCGTGCGCAGGTGCCCTCCCAAGCAACGTCTTGAGACACGCTCGACCCGTATGCGTCCCGCTTGCGGCTCTTCGGCAGGGCCAGTGCCGCTTTGAAGGCGAGTGCAAGCTTGCCCTCCCGGACCGCCCACGAGACGAATGCATGGGTGCCACGCCCGTCGGCAGAGTCAATCTTGGGCAACGCCACAAGCACGCGATCGACGTACGCGGCAGGGTCCGAGGCGTGGCGATAACGCTCAAAGAAGAATTTAAACACAGTGGCCAGGGGCGGGGCTTGCATTTTTGCCGTCGCCTGTCGCCGCTACAGCGCAGCAAACCTATTCTTCCCCGAGTTCATTTTCAATGTATGTGGCTCTTACGTACATTCCCGGAGGAGGACTGCTGACAGGGTTTTGCGATGAGGAGTGACCCGAAGGGTTTCTCGGGGTTAGTGCACCACTAACCGCCTCTGCAAGAGCACTGCGACGGATCGGGCTCATACTAGCACCCACCTCGCGAGCCGACGTTCTGGCTCAACGAGGCTGCTGCTGGCACTCGGGGCCGACTTTCTGGCCCAGCGAGGCCGCTGCGGGGCACACGGCGGCACGGGTCACTCCTCAACACAAACCCCGTCGATTTTATAAAATTCTCAGAGAGAGTTTGAGCAATAGCCCTTCTCTTTTCTCGCGTTTTCCTCCGTTTTCTTTCGCCGTGACAGGTTTCGAAGTAACTTGAAGCCCGAACGGTGTTATTTCCTCGAGCGCCGGATAAGCGATTCACACGAGGGCGGTGACCACGTGTTTCTCGGCTCGCCCTCGCCCGGCCCAGCGCTATGCCGGCGCGTTCGCTAGAGGCTGCTGCCGCAGAGCGGAGGCGCGTGCGTCGCCTCGCTACTCTCGCGGCGAAGTAGCTGCCGCCGCCGAGACGCGACGCGGCGTCTGCCGAGGAGAGAGAGCCAGCGCGGCGGTCGCCGACGCCGCCTTCGAGCTGTGTGCCACTTCTCGGGTGCACGAACAGCTCTGCGCGGCAGCAGCATCAGCAGCCGCCGCACCGCCACCCGCCTCGCGCCTGTCGCGGCCGGAAGGGAGCACGCCGACGCTGCCGTGGTACCGAGGGCCGGAGCCCGACTCTCGTACAGTCGAGCGGCTCCGAGGCGAAGCGCTGACACCACAGGGCATGCCGCGCAAGGAGAGCGCGCCTCGAGGCCGGCAAGTGCGCGTACGTGCCGCGCGGTCTTGGTGGCGCGAATTTACTGTGCATCGGTAGACCTTGTGCGAGCGCGTGTGTTCATCACACAGCCACAGCTGTCGCGAGTCCACAGTCAGCGCGACAGCTAGAGAGTGTGTATTGTAAGTTCGCAAAGAGAATGATTAAGAATGCACGCGTCCCCACGCACACATGCACACACACGCCGACCCGCACGCACACGCGTACCCGCGCACTCGCGACTGGCGACAATCCAGACTCCGCGCGCGACCGGGAAGAGCGAGGACCGAAGACTAGGTCCGGCCCTCTGGGTGGCGCAAGATCTGACGTTCTGTGACAATGGTCAGATCCGTGTTTTTCTCGTTGTTTTGTCGCTCGCTCCGCTCGCCACCTCACGCTCCGTAGTCCGGCCATGGCCAGTACCCCGCGTCTCAGTGAGACGCGTGGTACCATCCAACTCCGGTCGAAGGGCTCGAATGCGCTCAGCCTCAGGAGGAACAAAACCACGCAAATTCTGCACGCCTCGCTGCGCCGCTGGCTTGACTGAATCAGGCAGCAGGCTGCTGCTGCTGCTGCCACAGCAGCAGTCTGCTGCGGCCCTAATACGCAAGTTGATGACTAGCAGCACTGCCGGGGGCATACGAGCCGCCACAGCCGGTGTGCGGCCGTGCACTGCCACCTGCCTGCGGCTACGCACAATGTGCGCTCGCATTGGATGAGCCCTGCTGATGGACCTGCGTCGCCTAGCTGCACGAGAGCAATGCCGCAGGCGGTGGCCGTGGCATACACTGCGAGCACACTCGGTGCAGCTGCGAGGTGCAGCAAGAGCACGTCGTTCCTGCCTCTGATGCCACTCTCGCGGCTTGTAGCGCGTCACTCGCGCATGCTCTCCAGGAGCTATGGCGGGCGCGTGTGTGGGGCTGTAGCCTGTGTTTGGCCGGTTCTGACCCGTTTACTATCAGTATCATGCCCGGGCCACAAAAAATCGCACACGGGTAGCGGCTCAGGGGCCCAGTAAGTCGCGGAATCGCCAAATGTCACAACCTGCGCCACCCAGGGCTGGACCTAGTCCGAAGAGCAAGAGGCGTGTCACAGAGCCAGCCCTCTCACACGCTCACACCAGCACGCCGCCCTCGTCCTCCCCCACGCACGCCATACACTCAAACTCCGCCGCGCAGTCCGCGTAATCGGGGTCGGGGCACATGTGCATGTCGCGAGAGGCAAAGGCGCCCGGCGTGGCGGCCACGCTTGCGGCTGCCGACGGCAGCGAGGCGTTGTCGGGCCCCGCGCTCTCCGCCACCGCCGCCGCCCAACCCACCGCCTCCGCCAGCGCCTTCTCCCTCGCCGCCTCCTCTGCCGCCTCAGCCACCGCCTCGGCCTCCGCCTCTGCCGCCGCATCCGCCGCGCGCGCGGCACGCAGCCGCTGCCTGAGCTCCTCCTTGTGCGACTCGGTGAACGTGCCGCTCTGCATCAGCTCCCGCGCCGCCTCGTCGGCCATCGGGTAGAAGTAGTGGACGTCCCACTCGTAGGTGCGCGCGTCGACCCACGCCTTCTTGCGCGGGTTGTCGGCGCCGAGGGCGCGCGTTTCGATCATCTCGACTAGCTGCGCGTCGAAGCAGTCGCGGCAGCCGCCATAGGCGCCGCCCTCGCGCCAGATTGGGTGCCGCGACGTGCAGCCGCACAGCCAGCCGCGCTCCGCGCGGCTCTCTCGGAGGTCGCTCTTCAACTTCTCCTCGATGAAGCGGCGCTGCTCGGACGACTCGAAGTTGACCTCGTCCGCGGCGGTGCCGTACTCGCCCTTCTTGACGAGGCCGTCGATGAAGTCGTCGCACTTGTCTTCCGGGATGGTCTCCTCGAGGCGCAGCCGCGCGTGCAGCGACGCGAGGAGGACCGCGTGCACCTCGGCGTCCATCTTCTGCGCGGTGAGGGCGAAGCAGAGGCGGCAGGTGCGGAGCTCCTTGGTCGTGTACCAGTGGTCGTAGCGCGCGGCGTGCGAGTAGGTGGGCCACGCGACGCTCGGCCAGAGGGAGATGGCAGGCATGCAGTGCTTGACGTAGAGCTGCTCGAGCTTCCCCGCCTCCTTCCGGCCGTCGCGCGCGATGTTAAAATTCTCCTTGAAAGAAAAGGCGGGCCGGCCCTCCTGAGCGCGCGCGGCAAGGAGGGTCGGTGCGGGTGCGAGGGGTGGAGGTGAGAGCGGGGGTGGACGCACCCGCTCGTCGCGCCGCTGGATCGCGCGGAGCTCCTCCTGGATGTCGCCGCCGACGTTGGGCGCGTGCGTGCCGGAGCCGAGGTGGACGGTGATGCGCAGGAAGTGCGCGTGCGCCTCCTTGTCGCGCGCCGTCTGGTCCGCCTTGTTCATGGCCTTGCGCGCGCGCTGCAGGTCGGCCTTCTCCTGCGCCTCCATCTCCAGCATCTGCTCGCGGAGCTGCTCCCGCAATAGGAATTTCTCGAGCCTCTCCCGCCGCTTGCGCCGCGCCGCCTTGGCTGCGAGCGGCGCCTTGCGGTCGAGCTCCGCTCCCTTCGGCGGCTCGTAGCCGTCGGCGAGCAGGAAGTCGTGGAGGCGCGCCTCGAGGTACCATTCCCTCTCCTTCTCCAGCACCGGCCACAGCTTGCTGCCGTCGTCGAACTTTTCGTACTCGAGCAGAAACACATCCTCGAGCGTCGGCTCGCGGCGTCCGTTCGCCTCCGCTCGCACATAATGGTGGTAGCGAGGGAGGTGCAGCGGCGGCAATGTGTACGACTCATACGGCTTGTCGTCGAGCGCGGCAGCGAGCGAGGCGGTCTGTCGTCGAGCGCGGCAGCGAGCGAGGCGGTCTCCGCGAGGCCCGTCAGCTCCAGATTGCGCTCGCGAGCCTTCACCACCTCGCCGCTGCCGTCCAGCTCCACCTTCCACCGCTCACCGTCAGCTCCCGCGAGACGGCCCACCTTACCGTTGAGCTCGGTACGGCTCGCGAGGTCGCGCAACGCGACTCTCTGGCCTTGAAGGCGACGCACCTCTTGCGGCGTGCGGCGCATGGGATGTCGCAACGACCAGTCGGAGATTTGAGCGCGAGATGTTGTGTTCACACAAAAACACAACCCCGGACCCACATCACACCTAGAGCAACCCTGCGGGAGAACTTCTCGGCGGTGGTTCCGCTAGACGTCAAGAAAGACAGGAAGAAACCAGTGCCAAAATGCGGCCAGCCGCACAAGTTGAGTGACACAAACACCGAAGCTGCAGGCTGTGGCTGCAGCCAGCACAAAGGACAGGCAGCCCCACAACACACGCCTCTCCACGCACCACACGCTCCGCCAAGCGCGCCTCGCCCCGCAACGCGGCGCGCAAAGGCGCCGTGCACGTACACGATGGACTGCCGCCGCTCCGGCACCGACGGCCCGACCGACTCCACCCTGAGCCGGGTGCCTGCTCGGCAGCGTGTGGTAGGTGCACGGTGGGCGGCGGCGGGAACGGAGCCGCGGCTGGAGTGAAGGGCGAGCCGCCGCCGCCGCACCACCACCACCAGCGACGATTGTTCGCGGCTCGCCCCCGCCGCCAGGCGCCGGATCGGCAGTGAGCCACACGGGCCGCCGACAGCCCCCCCCCCTCCTTTCATGACGGTCGCTCTCGCTGCCGGCCGATGAACCCTCGCCGCCACCGCACCAGCGACACCAGCGACACCGGCCGCGGCTCGCTTCCACGCGCCGGCTCGGAAGAGGGGCTGTCGGCGGCGCAGCAGAGCGGCTCGCCTCGGCGCTCGAGCCGCCGACAGCCCCACTCCTCGACGTGACGGCCGCTCCCGGAGCCAGCCGGTGCGCGCCCGACCCACGCCCCCTCTCGCACCCCTCCGACCCCCCCTGCGCGGCGCACCTATCCGCTGTGCGCCGGCTCGAACGCCTATCGCCAAATCGCGACGTTTGAGCGCAGCGCACGCGTCCCACACGTCACGCGCGCGCAGGAGAGCTTGCGGCGGTGCTGTAGCGTGTACTCGCCGAGGGCATCGCGCCGAAAACCCCGCGCGTTCCGCCCCAGCAGAGGCTGCAGCCGATGCGACAAAAACACCACTGTAAAACGGTGAGTACTTGGGGTTGAGTGGGCTTGCTTGCTCCCTTAGCCGGGTGCAAAAATGCAAGAAAAACAACTCTCTCTCACAGCACACAGGCTCGACACACAGGCCTCTGATTCCGCGCCATAACAACTGTCTATGCGCGCGCTCCGCCCCCGGCCGCTGCCGCCGCGAATGCGCGCGGCGGCGGCGCGCTTGGTGCGGGAGCGCACCGGACGCTCGCGCGGCGCCAGGGCGTATCGGTCTCGGCACGTCTCGCGCGCTGCGAGGTGTCTTTTGGCATGCTGGCGCTTGGCAAAGACGCCAGCAAGCTCGCCTTGCTTGCCTGCGGCCGCGGGCGTGTGGGTGGGCCCGCCAGGCTCGGCGAGGCTCGGCGCGGGTCTTCGAGCTCGCCGCCGGCGGCGAGCCAGCATAGCTCGTCGCTCGACGGGAGCCTGTCCGGTATGCTCTGGGCATGCTGTAGAGCATCGCCAACTTTCTGGGAGGGTCTACAGGGCCAGGGCGGGCCGGCTCGGGCGCGATTGCGCGCTCAATACTACCACGACTACCTGCTCTCGAACCGGGCCGCCGACAGCGGGCTTGTGCGGCGCGCCGCTCGACGGCAGGCTGCTCCTCACCCTTCCGACAGCATCTGCTGTCTCGCTTCTCTCGCTGTGACCGCATCTGGGGGCCTGCGCCGACCTCCTCGCTTCGCCAGCGCTGCCTATGACTGCGGCACGCACGTCGGCTCGCCGCCCGCGTCGCCCGCGGCGGGCCCGCATAGCGCGCCGCTCGTCGGGGGAGTGCCAAGGAGGTTGAGGAGTACAGGCTGCCTCGCTCAGACCGCCGCCGACGCGGCGCGGGGCCGCTGTCGGCGCTGCTGCCGAGCTCCTGCGCTGTGGGCTTCGCCATCGTGTCCTGAGTACGTCGCCGACGCCACCTGCCGCTCGCCGCTGCCTTGGACTTCCCTGCCATCAGGCAAACACACACACACACACACACACAAACACACACACTATTACTAATCGGGTAATAATTATTAATTATTAATCATCGGGCGGGGGCGCGGCGCGGCGGCGAGCGGCGCGAGGCGGCGGCGCGGCGAGGCAGCGGGCGACGCAGTGCGGGGCGGCGCGGCGGCGGGTGGTATAATTGTTTATTAATTCATTAATAATGAATTAATAATTGTCGGGCGGCGGCGCGGCGCGGCGACGGGCGGCGCGAGGCGGCGGCGCGGCGAGGCAGCGGGCGGGGCGGGGCGGCGGCGGGTGGTATAATTACTTATTAATTAATTAATAATGAATTAATAATCACCGGGCGGCGGCGCGGCGCGGCGGCGGGCAGGGAGGCGCGGCGGCGGTGGGGTAATTGATTATTGGTTAATTTATTATTACTTAATGACCTCGAGTGCTGTATTCCACGTCCTAACCTAATTAGTTAATTCATTAATTAATTACGTATTGTATTCCGCGTCGGGTATTCGCAAGTATTCCAGGAAGGCAGGGCGCGAGGCGGAGCTGTCTCGAAGCAGTGTACCACCACCCACGCTGTAGATGGACAGAGAATAGTTCCCTTCCCCCCTCGGAGGGGGCCGGGAGAGGCGCACCCCGAGGGCCCCCCTCTTTCCCCTTCCCCCCTCGGAGGGGGCCGGGCGAGGCGTAACCCGAGGGCCCTCTTCCCTGACCCCGCCCGCCTGCACGCCTGCCCTGCCCGCCTGGCTGATAAGATCTTTTCACCTCCTCATTGGTGGAGTATAGGTACGAGGGAGGTGGGGCATCTCTTGCGGGTCTCGCCAGGGGCGCCTACTAACCTCGCTTGCGAGGGGCGTGTGGCATGTCTGAACGGACTCGTGAGGGGCGCCTGCCAACCTCATTCGTCGAAGCGGCGCTTTGTACCCACACCCACCCCGCCGCATTAGTCGCCGGCGCGCGACAGGCTCCCGTCGGCCGGACTGCCCTCAACGAGTGGGTGTCGCCAACCAAAGCGACACGCACTCGAGGGTAGTGCCGACGGGACGCGGCTCGAAGGGCGTGGCTCCGCAGCGCGACTGGCACTCGTCGCAGAGGCCTCGCATTCGACAAGTCGGGAACGGCTCTACCCGCAACTTATCGCTAACACGCGCGCACCGCCGAGCCTGCGGCGGGCGCGCTGCAGCCGCACGTCTACCTTCGTCATAGTGCCACGACGTGCGGCCTAGAATTAGCACACGTGCCTCTGTTCGCAAACACTCACACATTGAATTGTCACCGCCAGTGAGTGCGAGATAGGGCTGGCCGCTGGCGGCTAGCCCGTGAGGAGGGCGACCATAGACACCTCACTAACCCCACACACGGGTTGTTGTGCGAGTATATGGGCCAAAAGCGTCGAAAATGTCCCAAAAAAGCGTGTCTCGAGTTTGTTGCAGCTCCGCAGCCTGCGCGCGCTGCCGGGTCGCACCGCTTGCTGGATACACGCACTCCCTGGGTCCCAGGGAGTGCGTGTATCCAACTGGAGTGAGTAGGCTCGACGCCGTACTCGAGATGGAGCTGCAGAAAGTACGCCGCCGAGCGTGCCACCGACGGCGTCCCGGCGGAGGTGATGGAGTGTGAGACCTGAGGCTGCGGAGGTGACGCCTGAGGTACCGGTCCGTGCACAGCGACTCAGCCGGCGACCGCCACGGGCTCAGGCGAGACTTGTCGACGCGTTCCGGCTCAGCTTCACCATGGTCCTCGGGCGTCTGTCGACGTCAGGACCACCCATACAGCTCGCGGGTTTGAGGTCGCAAGAGCCAAGATGGTGGCGTTTGGACATCCCAACCATCACACAAGACAGCCTGTAGGTGATGGCGGGACGGCGCAGTGTTTGTGGCACTCGGCAGTAGGCACCCGCGGCACGGCCCCGCTGTCGGCTCTCGCGGGCTGCGGAACCGGCCCCAGAAGGGGACGGTCCGGGCGAGTGTGGCAGCTCCTGCGCTAGTATGGGCACCATCTATCACAACACTACTGACCCTGGCCATTAGAGCTGCCAGGGATAGCGTCAGGAGCCGGTAGGAGTCAAAACCCCTCATATTTGAGACATCGTGGCCCATATACTCGCACAACAACCCACACGGTCTCGTCCGTGCCTCGCCGGCCGCCGCGCGGCCGGCGCAGCCGCCCGGGAGCTCAGGCGCTACCGCTCCGCTTGCGCACCTCGCCGACGTGACCGTGATTCGAGGCCGCCCATATCCGCCGTTGGATGCAGCCGAGATGCAAAATCCCACACGAGCCGTCCCCCCCTGACCCCCCCTGCGCCCTGCCCCTGGGGACGGAGGGTGGACGCGTCTCCACCCTCCGTCCAACATTCGCGATCCTACTAATACATACATATTTATTGTACACGAACCGATGCACGAGCCGGCCGTCGGTGTCCTCCCAAAAAGACACACAATGTAACGGGCTGCGTGCATGGCAGAGGTCGAGGCAACACGGGGCCTCGGGGCGCCAAGCCGTCAGTAGCGCTTTGGCTTGCCGCTCTCCTCCACCGGCTTGCCCACGGGCACCCGACTGCTCTGCTTGTTTGTCTCGCGCGCGTGGAAGAGCTGGCTCTGGATGTCGACGAGCCTACGGGGTTGAGCAGGCACGGTGGGTTCGGTGCGCGCCGCAAGAGTAACCCGCGGCTGGAGGTGAGCCGTCGCAGCACGAGGAACATGAAGAGCGAGAAGCCGGTGATGTAGGCGTTGCGCTCGTTCCGAAATTTTTCGAGGCCGACCTCGCACGACAGGATCACGTCGTCGATCGGCGAGGCGACGATGCCCACGTGCACGAGCGGGTTCGAGAGCGCGTCCATCGTGCCGGCAAAATAGTAGGCGTCCAGCAGTAGGATCGCAAAGCCGGCGTACTTGACGCCCTGGTTCGAGAGCAGAGAGACCACCCACTCGTTGAGCAGGCCTCGGATCTGAGCGCGCGAGGAGGAGCAGCGTCAGCCGCGGCGGCGTCGGAGGGCGGTGTCGGCTGCGGCAGCGGCGTTGGCGGCAGGAATGCCTTGTTGGACGGCACCGGTAAGATGAGCAGTCCGACGAGCGCACACTCGAGGAGGAGAGCGAGGCAGAGGACGAACCAGCCGGGATCCATGGGGCTGGGCGTGTTGTGCACGAGCCAGCAGGCGTGCGAGCCGGGCGGCCGCAGAAAGAAAAATCTGTCGAAAGGCGGCGCAGAACGAGGCAGAGAAGAGCGGTGACAGAGGAAGAAGCGACAAGGGAGAGCACGACGAGAAGGGGGCGACCGCGAGGTGGCACGAAGGTTGCAGCGAGAATCGGAGAGAGAATGCGAAGAGAGATAGGAAGAGGCGGACGCCCAAGGGTGGGCGACGGCTAGCGCACCACACCCATCTCCTTAAAATCCCTGTGTGGTGGCGGCGTGCCGTCCTCCCATCCCTCCCTTGGGTTGTCTGTTTTCTTTCTTTCCCTGTGTTAGTGCCAGTGCGCGCCAGTCCCGTGCCCAGTGTTGTGCGAGGGACTTTTGTTGTAAAATTCTTTCTTTCTTTCTGGCACGACAAGGGCGCGGACTGGCGCGGACTGGCACACCCACCGGCTCAGTAAAAAGAGTCGTAGAAGCTCCTGGACGGTCGGCGGAGGGGGTCGTCGTTACAACAAGGGGTAGTGGCTCGCCGCCACGAAGCGGACCGCCTCCCGCCAGGCCGCGTGCCTCGCCCGTTCCCTGCCCTCGGCGCGCGCCTTGCCCTTCTTGCCAAATACAAGACGCCGTCGGCGGCCTGCCGCCGCTCGCTGCCCTCTCGGCGGCCGCCACAGCGAGCACCCACCCGCAGCCCGGGGGCCACGCGGCCGTGCTGTGAGAGAGAGTTGTTTGTTTAAGGTCATTCACGGGTGTCCGCGGCCCACTGATCTGTGCCCGCTGGTAGGACAGTGACCGCCGCAAACCCTATGGTCAGCTCCATATGATCTCGGATATTTTTTGTAGGCACCGGAACGCCAAAAAACTAGTATGTCTTCGAGTGAAAAGTAATCCGAGCAAACCCGCGGCCGCAGTGAATTAAAATGGGCGGTTTTCGAGGGGGAATCTGGAGAATCGGGGAATCTGCTCACCACGGATCCCCACCTCATCGAAAAACTTTTCACTCCAAGACATACTAGTTTTTTAAGGTGCTCTACAACCTAGGCACAAAAGATATGGCATTGCCGGCCATTTAGGATTCCTAACACCAGACAGCGAGAGGGGCAGGGAGGAAAGGGGGAGAGAGGAAGCCAACGCGACGTGCGCAGAGGATGAGGATATAAACTGGGACGACGCAGCGGAGGGGATAGGCGAGGGAATCGAGGGACCGGAGGGCTTTCGCGACAGCGACGATGACGACGAAGAAAGGGGAGGGGACGGAGGGGCGACACGCAGGAGGAGCGAAATCGCTAACGGCCCGAGCAGAGAGGGCGACGGCGGGGCACGAGGGAACAACGGAGACGCTACCGATGACGCGAACCGAGGCACGGACGCCGGCGGGGACGGGGAGGGCGACAGCGACGTCGAGGTTGACGCAACCGTATCGAGAGCGCCACCCAAAAAGGGGCGGACAGCCATGGAGGTCACCGAATGGAGGGCGAACGGCACGATGCGAAAAGGCAGGGCGAGGCGGATGGAGAAAGAAGTGCCGAGAAGGCCATGGTGGAGGGGAGGGACGGGAGGACGAAAGAAGGGCGAGGAGGACGAGCGGCCCGCACAGACCGCGAGCAGACAGCGCCTGCTGGCCATTTCGAGACATTCGCCAAGAACGCTAGCTACATGGGAGGGCTTCGTGAAGGATGGATTGAAAAACATTCGAACAAAGAAGAGGCGACGGGAGGAACCGGCGGAGGATGCAGTGACGTGAGACACACACACACACACACACACACACACACACACACACACACACACACACACACACACACACACACACACACACACACACACACACACACACACCGCTCACCCACGCGCACTGGGCCTTGCACTTTGAATGCCGTGGGGCTCCTGTCGTCAGACGTGGAGACGCGAGGGTTGCCCCCCCTTGCCCCACCACCTCGTGTGTGTGGAGAAGTTTACCTTACCTTACCTTACCTTATTCCTAGACGGTCACTGAGTACGCCAAAATCCCCACTGGGCCGGGAGCAGCATGTTGTTACACAACAGATCTCACGGTCGCTTGCCGCCCAACGCGCCGAGCACGCCGCCCATCGTGCCGTAAACGAGTGCGCCACCCACCGCGAGCGGGATGCGATTTGCGAGGAAGGTGTACTCCATGCCGAAGAGGCCGACGCGATTTGTGGCGGCGCCGAGGTAGCCGAGTGTGCCGCCCGCAAACACATTGTGCCACAACGACTGTCGGCCCTGGATCGCCTCGAGCGGGCACTGGAGCACCAGGTAGGTCCACACGAAAGTCGAGTTCATCGCGAGCTGCATGGGAAGGGCGTTCATCGCTGTGAAGCCGCCGCTCGCGACGCCCTGCATGAGAGTGAGCATCGCGCCGTTGGCGACGGCCGGCGTCGCGGCGCCAACCGCGCACCGCGTCGTGTAGTCGGCCATCGACGGCGACGGCGACGGCGACTCGGCTTTGAGGGAGCCGACGGCGGCGACCAACCACCCACCCTCCGCCGTTACTAAGTTTCACGGCGTTTCGTCATATGGGCGACGGCGACCAGTGTAGCAGCGCAGGCCGGAGACCAGCGCCTCTCAACATCGCTGATTGCGGCTGATGACGAAACGTTGACGAGATAACGTTGCGAACACGCAATCATGTCGGTGGCCTTGAAGCCAGCCGATGCCGCGGTCCTCCGGCTCTTCTACGAGGCGACGGGCGGCCCAAACTGGAAGACGAATGATGGCTGGAGCGATCCCGTCAACTGCACAACGGGCGGATGGGCAAACGACCACTTCCATACGTTTGGCCAAATGACCACAGCCCAAGCATTCGGCGTCACCTGCGTCGCGGTGCTCCTCAAGTACCGCTCAAACGCACAGATCACCTTAAATTCTTCTCGCACGCCCGTGACCAGGCTCGACCGCCCGAAGGCACACACACACGCGCACACGCACGCACGCACGCACGCACACGCACACGCACACGCACACGCACACGCACACGCACACGCACACGCACACGCACACACATCGGCACACACACGCGCGGCGCCGACACACGCCGCGCGCCGTCCGCCAACGTTCGGGCACACTCTCAACTTCAACGTGCAGCGCGCACCCGAGTGAGGCATCCAGGCAACGGGGCCTGCGACAGTGCAAGTCTGCGTGTTCCCTCATTCGCACATCGGCCGCCGTGTATTATCCTGGAGCTGCCACCGCCTCCCATCGGGCATCCCCCTGGAAAGCACGCGCAAATCACCCATCTCGCCGCCCGCCGCCAAACCACACCTCTCACCGCCCTACGCGCCACCGCCTCCGCCCTACGCGCCACCGCCTCCGCCCTACACGCGACCGCCTCCGCCCCGGGGGCCCTACGCGCCACCGTTTCCACCCCCCTCCCCGCTCGACGCCCCGCAGGACCCTCCCACCGTCAAGTCGGCGCAGCGAGGGTGCGCGCCTCTCCCCCGCTCTTCTCGCCGAGATCCAGCCGAGATTGCGCCGAGAGATGGCGCCTCCGCTTCTCATCAGTTGGCCCGCGCGAGACTACTTTGCGCCGGGCCCGTTCCCTGAAGCGACAGCGCCGTGACGGCGCGGATTAAAGCCCCGCGCCGCCGTCCAGCGCCGGCCCTTCGCTATCCCGCCCCACGCCGTCGCGCGATGTGGAGGCGCGGTCGTTAGGTCCCGGACACTTCCGAGACACTTCCGAGACACTTGCGAGACACTTCCGAGACACTTGCCCTCCAAGCTTCGCGCGAGTCGGCCGGGAGATCGAGAGAGCGCCGGGAGACCGCCAGAGGCGCCGAGGAGGATCTTGTCATGCAAAACACGTGTCAGACTAGTTATCGAGCCCCCGGGCTCATGACCTCACCAGTGACGGCACCTGAGGCGACCTCTGGCGGGGGAGATCGCCCGAGATCACACGAGATCACACGAGATCGCACGAGAGGAGCGGCGGCACCTGAGGCCGCGCTTTGCGGGCGAGGTGCGGCGCGAGAGTGGAACATGCAAGTGGCCCCTCCGATATATCGGTGTGGTGTATATCGCGTCTGAGCGCGGTATGTAGCGGGGTTCGAGCTTGTGCAAGCCGCCGAGGCTCCCCCCCCCCCCCCCCCCCCCTCCTGCAGCAGCGCCTACCCGTGGCCCTCCTCTTCCTCAGCTCCCCGACGCCGATGCGCCCACCGCCGCACTAGCGCCTGCGCCGGTGATCTCTCCTCCTCCTCCTCCTCCTCCGCCGCCTCCCCGCAGCGCCTCTCGCGCGCAAGGAGACAACTGCGTGACGAGGCGCAGAGAGATGAGGCAGACCACGATGCAGGCCTCCTCTCTAGACACTTCCCAGACACTTCGCACACTTCCTAGACACTTCCCCGACACTTGACGAACACCTTCTAGAGATTCCCTAGGCACTCCCTACACACCTCGCTTCCGGACACTTCCCAGACACTTCCCAGACACTTCCCAGACGCTTCCCAGACACTTCCCAGACGCTTCCCAGACGCTTCCCAGACACCTCCCAGACGCTTCCCAGACACCTCCCAGACACCTCCCAGACACTTCCCAGACACTTCCCAGACACTTCCCAGACACTTCCCAGACACCTCCCAGACGCTTCCCAGACGCTTCCCAGACACCTCCCAGACGCTTCCCAGACACCTCCCAGACACTTCCTAGCTGTCGTCTGTCTACTCGCCCCCCCCCCCCTCCCCCCGTCACTTGCGCAGGTCGAGTGGAGCGACGGCGGCGGCGAGGGCGACTTCAGCGCGCTGCTCGGACAGCGCGTGCGGCTGCAGGGCCTGCAGAGGCTGCGGCTTATAGACACTTCCCAGACACCTCCCCAGACACTCCCCAGACACTTCCTAGACACGGCGGCAGCTGTGAACGGCGCCTGATCACGGGGAGGGGGTGGACCACAGGCGGCCCGAGCTCAACGGGAGATTTGGGCGCGTCTACTCGTACGACCACTCCAAGCAGCGCGCCGGCAAGTGGTAGCCGAGAGGGAGCCGGGGGGTGGCCGAGAGGTGGCCGAGAGACAGCCCAGAGTGCCGGAACCTTCTCGGAACCTTCTCGGAACCGTCCCTTAGGCGTGTTTCTCGACCCTGTCGTTGGCGCTGGCCCCGCCGCCGCCGCCGCTGCCCCCACCGCTGCCGCCTGTCTTGGCGGTGAGAGGGAAGGAGGGGGAGGGGGTGGTGGTGGGTCGGGCGTGTGGGTTAAGCCTCGCAATTTGGTCGATGTGGGTGCTGCTGCTGGTGCTGCTGCCGCTGCTGGGCCCGCCTCCGCCTCCGACGCAATTGCTGGTGCTGGGGCATCTCTCGCCGCCGCCGCCGCCGACACGGCCGCTCCTGGCGGAGAGAGACGGGTTTGAGTAGCGATTGGCACCTAGTTACCCCGACTTTACTGTATACCGACCGCAGCGATCTCTAACCGCGTTCGGACTTTTCGGTTTCGAAGTTTTGTTGCTAGCGTTGTTGATGCGATGAGGACGCACCTCGTTCCTCGTGACGCTTCTGTACACCTCGTTCTGCACATTCTGTATGGCGCGCAAGCGCCGGCCACCGTCGGGCCGCCGGGGATGCGCCGCGGACGGCCCTGGAATAGCAGCGATCGCGCGCACATGCAAGACTGCCTCATTGCCGCAAGGCTTGCAGGTGTGTCGCAGCTCAGGTATGAGGTCCCTGGCTACGGGACGGCGACCTTCGACCTGAAGCACGAGAAGGCCGCGGGCGACCGCGAGCCGGTGCAGGCGGCGGAGCGCTCGTTCGTCGAGCGCACCGCGCCGCGGAAGGAGGAGCTGACGGAGGAGCAAAAGGATGCTCGGGCCGCGGCTCGCAGGGCCAAAAAGGCCCGGCAGAAGGCGAACAAGGCGGAGAAGGCTGCGGCGGCGGCTGCGAGCGAGGCTGAGCGTGCGGACTACCCGCACGCGCAGCTGCGCGAGAACGTCGAGTTCGTCATGGACGGCCTGGAGGCTGCGACGCAGGCGGCGCGCAACCCAGCGGGGTCCAATATTCAGGTCGCCTACTCGCTGCCTCCCGAGGGGGGCAGCGGGTTCGGCGACCTGGTGTACGCCACGGTCCCTCTGGGCTCCGTGGCGACCAAGGTCGCCCGGGACTGGCTCGCCAACGAGCTCTACGAGCCGTCCCGGGGCGGCAAAATTGATGCGGCCTGCAGGGACCGAAAGGTCGCCGACCTGATCACGGCTGCCGGCGCCTCGGCGCCGGCCGACGCCGTGTTCGGCGGCAGGTTCGCGACGGGCGAGACGCCCCGCTCGACGACCTCCGCCTCCGAGGCGGACGAGGGCGACGGCGCCGGCGGCGATGACGGGACCGGCTTCGACCTGTTCGGGCCGGACCCCACCCCCATGGAGGACCTTTGAGGCCCTCTCCAGTCCCCCCCACCTTACCTCTGCCCCCCCCTCCCCCCATCCCTCTGCCTCCCATATAGGGCAGGATAGCACTAGCATATGCGCCTAGTGCGCACACTGGGCCCACATAGATGTGACCCGCCCACTCGAGTGCGGCGCCCGGATGCTAGTGCTTGAGAGGACACCACAAACGCGGCACGGCCCGTTTTGGCTGTCTGCGGAGATTCTGTCTTAGCACACACAGTGAGTCATTCGGAGTCATTCGATGGCCAGAGTGCGATTGTGTGTGTGCGGGAGTTGGTTTGTCGGTAGGGAGGGGCAGGCTGCTCACCCACGTGCACCGGGCCAGTGCTTGCACTTTGAATGCCGTGGGGCTCCTGCCCGTGTCCGGGCGTGGAGATGCGAGGGTCGCCCCCCCTTGCCCCACCACTTTGTGTGTGTGGAGAAATCTACCTTACCTTACTTACCTTACATGTCTGGACGCTCCACAAACCCTATTGGTGGCTCTGCCCGCAAGGCGCCCGCGTCGCCGACGCGGTACCCTTGACTAATCCCGGAATACACACCCACCCACACGACCAAATAGCGAAAATCCGAATACCGTGCAAAAACGAAGAGGAACGTGAGACGAAGAACGGTAACAAGTTTGGCTAGCGCCATAACATGGGCGATCCAGCGCTAAAAGGTCGCCGCCACCCCCATCCCCGCCTCCCCGCCTCCGTCCGCCTCCGCCTCCGCCTTCCCCTTCGCCTGCATGGTATGCGCATCTCGGCCACGCGTCGCGGAGGAGTAAGAAGTCTGCTATCGGGAGTGCGGCCGTCACCCTGCACCCACCCAGCAAAACCGAACAAACAATCTGTGAGTGAGTGTGAGTATTCACACTCACAAACAATCTCTGTCTCCAATTGCCCCGGGATGGCCGGAGGGGGTGGGACGCCTGCATGTCCTCGAAGCTCCCACCCGCATACGCAAGCCGAGCCGCGAACGGCGGGGAGGGAGTTTTGGAGGGTCAGCCAAGGACGCGCATGGCGAGTGACAAATAGAGGCGACTTCGCTCTACACCGGTTTGCCATCGTGACTAGCAACACTGTTCAGCTCCCAACGTTAAACAGCTCTACGGCTCTAGGCTCTACGCACTACGGACGACGCCGTTCTGATGGCGTTCTGTCTGAACTTCTCGCTCAGTCTGTCTCTCTTCACTCACCCTACACAAAGCTCAACAAGAGAGAGAATTTTACAACAAAACTCCCTTGCACGACACTGGGCACAAAGAGGTAACTCAGACCTAGCTTCATCATCTTCGTTGTCCTCGCTTTTCGAACTCCGCGGGCTCCTCTCGGGATCAGGTTTGGCACAGCGCATCGGTGTGCGGTCTGTACTACTACAGCACTCAGTCAATGGCTGCCCTCAACCACCCCCCCTCGCGCTGCCCGGGCGCCTGCCCCCATCGCCGCGCACCCCCTCACAAGCCGCCGAACCCGAGCCCAAACATTCCAGACTCCTGCTGCCGCCGCAGCTTGCGCGCGGCGGCGGCGAAGTCCTCCGCGTCGTCCGCGAACCTCGCGAACTTGTCGTCCAAGTTGGCCAGCTTCTCGCCGCGCTCGTGCAGCGCCGCCACGGCCTCGCGCGCGGCGCTGCTCGCCGCCGCCGCCCCCGCCCCCGCCGCCTTGCCCTCACCCGGCAGCGGCCGCCCGTCCGCCGCGCGCCGCGCCGCGCGCCCCTCGCGGCTCGCCCAGTAGGGCTCGCCCTCGCCCAGCAGCTCGCTGCGCGCCGCCGCGTGGCCGCCCGCCGACGGCGGCCCTCCGCCCCGCCCCTCCGCCCGCCGCTCCCGCCGGCGCGCCGCGAGGGGCCGGCTCGCCGCCTCCGCCTCGAGAGTTAGGGTTAGGGTTAGTCATTAACCAGTCATTAGTTAGTCACTAACTCGTCATTAATTAGTGGTTAATTAGTGGTTAATTAGTGATTAATTAGCGGCCTCGAGGGTGCGCAGCATCGAGTGGGCAGCGTCGCAGACGCGCGCCGGCGCCTCGCCAGCCTTGAGGACGGCGCGGTGGGCGGAGCAGCCGCTGCAGACGAGGAGGCCGAGCAAGCGGCAGTGGTGCTTGCCAGAGTCGAAGAGCCCCGCCAGCTGGGCGAAGGGAGTGCCGCAGCACATGCAAGTCGCCGACGAGTCGTCGGGGCACCTGTTCACAGCTAGAGGTGTGAAGAGACGCTGCTCACTGCGGTCGTTTGTTCGACGGGCCGCCGGCTCCTAGACACTTCCGAGACACTTCCGAGACACTTCCTAGACCCTTCCCCGGTCCGACGAGCCGCCGGGGGCGCCACGCCGCCGCCGCCGCGCGCAGAGCCAGCGGGTGCGCCGAAGCGGCGGGCAGGGCTGGCACCTCTCTCCTTGCCTGCGGGGGAAGTGTCTGGGAGGTGTCTCGGAAGTGTCTCGGAAGTGTCTAGGAAGCGGCGCCTCTCTCCTCGCCTGTGGTACGGCGCCGAGAAGGCTCCGGGCTAGGGTTCGGCTGTGGGCAGGGTAGGGTAGGCTTGCTCTGTGTGCAGAAGGGCCGGCCCCCTCGGGCACCCTCGGCACCTCTCGGGGGCATCTCGGCATCTCTCGGCTAGCCTCGCCCTGTGCGCGGCGACGCCGGACTGAGCCGCGCGGCGGACAAGCTCCCCCTGCGGCAGTGATTGGCGAGTCAACGTGATCCACTCATCAACCTCACGGCCTTCACGGCAGAGCACCTGCGACTCCTCCCATCCGCGCGCCAGCTCTGGCCGCGCCCCATGCGACGCCAGCACCTCGGCGGCGGCGCAGACGCCCTCACCGCCCTCCGCGCCGGCTGGAAGGAGCGAGAGCGGAGGGCGGCCGCTCTCGTCGAGCCCGTTTGGCTGCGCGCCGTGGGCCAGAAGCAGCTGCAGCGACGTCGCGTCGGCTGCGGCGGCAGCGAGGTGGAGGAGGGAGCGGCTGGCGAGGCCTGTTCACAGCTGGAGGTGTGAAGAGGCGCTGTTCACAGCGAGGCGGAGGAGGGAGGGGCTGGCGAGGCCTGTTCACAGCTGGAGGTGTGAAGAGGCGCTGTTCACAGCGAGGCGGAGGAGGGAGGGGCTGGCGAGGCCTGTTCACAGCTGGAGGTGTGAAGAGGCGCTGTTCACAGCGAGGCGGAGGAGGGAGCGGCTGGCGAGGCCGGAGGGACGGAGACGCGCGGCCGGGTCGAGGCCCGCCTGGAGGAGCGGGGGAAGTGTCTCGGAAGTGTCTCGGAGGTGTCTCGGAAGGGTGACCCCGCCGAGCCCCGCCTGGAGGAGCTCTTCTATTCACAGCTCTTCTATTCACAGCTCTTCTCTTCACAGCGCTTCTCTTCACAGCTCTTCTCTTCACAGCTCTTCGCTTCACAGCCCTTCTCTTCACAGCTCTTCTCTTCACAACCCCGCCTGCAGGAGCGCCTCCAGGCCGCCGTGAGAGCCTAAGCAACCGCCCGTTAAACATGAACGAAGTGATGATGAGTGAGGGGGCGCCTCGAGGCCAGGTGGGCCAGTGCGCAGCGCCAGGAGCGCGGCGGGCGTGCCTATTGACGGCCGCCTCGGCAATCAAGGGTCGCTAGCTGCGCACTCCCTCTTCGGCGGGCGCGCCGTCGAAACACGGCGCGGCGCGGTCGGCGGCGCTGGCTAGTAGCGCCGCCACCGCCGCCGCGGGCGCGCGCGTCGCGAGGAGCAGAAGCAGCGGCGTCTCGCTCTCTGTCGCGTCGCAGCCTCCTTCCGGCCCCGCGCCCGCCTCGAGCAGCAAGCGCAGCACCTCCACGCGCGCCGCGGGGCCGGCGTCGCGGGGGGGCGGGGCGGGCGGCGGCGCCGGCCCGCTAGGAGAGTGCGGCAGCTCCGGCGGCGGCGGAGGCGGGCCGCACGCGCAACAGAGCGCGGCAACCATCAGCGGCGCCAGCTCCGCGGCGCCGCTGCCGGAGGGAGACGCGCCCGCCTCGAGCAGCGCCTCGACGGCGACGGCGTTGCCCGCCGCCGCAGCGACGTGCAACGGGGACCACCCGCCCAGCCCCGCGCTCTCCTCAAAGTCGCTCGCCGCCGCCGCCGCCGCCGCCGCCCGCCACGCTGCCTCGCAATCGAGCGTCGCCGCTGCGTGCGCGAGGTCGCCTAGTCAATTCACCACTTGAGTCATCAGTAGCTCCTTCACTAAGTTCATTCACACTAGCGTGGGTGATGAGGTCGCCCTGCACGAGTGCGCCGCTCGCCTCGGCCAGCCTCCTCCCGACGTGCTCGTGCGCCAGCCGCCGCACCTCGGCGCAATTAACTGGTTCATTAGTCCATTAGTTGATGAGTTGATTAGTTAGCTCGTGCGCCAGCCGCCGCACCTCGGCGCAATTAACTGGTTCATTAGTCCATTAGTTGATTAGTTGATTAGTTAGCTCGTGCGCCAGCCGCCGCACCTCGGCGCAATTAACTGGTTCATTAGTCCATTAGTTGATGAGTTGATTAGTGAGCTCGTGCGCCAGCCGCCGCACCTCGGCGCAATTAACTGGTTCATTAGTCCATTAGTTGATTAGTTGATTAGTTAGCTCGTGCGCCAGCCGCCGCACCTCGGCGCAATTAACTGGTTCATTAGTCCATTAGTTGATTAGTTGATTAGTTAGCTCGTGCGCCAGCCGCCGCACCTCGGCGCAATTAACTGGTTCATTAGTCCATTAGTTGATGAGTTGATTAGTTAGCTCGTGCGCCAGCCGCCGTACCTCGGCGCAGGTCGCATACGCCGCCGGCGGCGGAGGGGGGTAGGAGTCGGGACCGAACCTAGGGTTAGGGTTAGGGTTAGGGTGAGGGTTAGGGTTAAGGTTAGGGTTGGGGGGGGGGGGGAAGAGTCGGGACCCAGCCTGACGGCGGAGAGGGTGCGGCGCAGCTTCGCCACCTGTGATCAGCGCCCTGATGTGTCGAGCATGTGTCGAGCAGTCAGCTCGACCTCGGGAGGGCGCCGCGCCGCTTCTCTGCGGTCCCAGATCGTGATCTCGGCTAATCTCGGCGCATCTCGGCTAATC